AAGTTTCAACGGTATAGAATAATTCTGACGACGCAGCCTGAAAAGTATGCCAAACATCATAAACAAATAAATCAGTGTATCTATACCGTTGAAACTTTTTTTATTTATTATACATAGTTCAAGTTGTGATCAATTCAATTCTACCCTCGAGCTCTCTAGGAACGACTGTAATATTATAAATTTACTATAGAAGCATTCTCCATAACAATAGCATAATGTTTCCTTGCTAGTCTCTATGGTATTAATTTAATAATCCCTATAACATGGCTGACAGCTTGAAATGGTTCCCTTTGTAGAACTTTGATTTCTGTTAGTGCTTACTCAACCAGAAGATCCATTTCACATAATGTACAATTTTGTGTTAAAGGGATTTGGGCATTTTCTGAAACCATTGTAAGACTACAGTATTATATGGTCAGAACAATGGGGTTGTCATATCTAATGATAAACATTTTTACTCGACTGTTTATAAAAAGGAGTGTAACGTTTTTAAGAGACAGGTAAGGCACAGAGAATTTTTCTCTCAAATTAGCGTCTGTCTCGGGAAGTTACCGTACACCTTAAAAAGACCGTAGTGAAATATAACTATACTTAATTGTGTTGTGTTTCCGTCGGTAAGTATAGTTGCCAGACCTCCAAGGTGTACGAAGGGGGGATCAGGGCTACAGAATAGGCAACATATAATAAATACTCTGCTACATTCTAGGTGGTATGTGTCCTTGTGCTTGACGACTTCCTATAAAATGATCGTCTAAAACCTTATATCCTAATATAAGATTAGTCCCCCAATATTAAAACAAATATTTATGAACAATTAAAAAATAACCGGCATACCCAAAAGTAAGTTTAGAGCAACAATATATTATCATACCGAGCTTATTTAAAAAAAAACCGGAGAAATCCGACTCGAGTTCGCCCACCGAAGGTTCCGTCCTAAACGGCCGTATTTTTCACGTTAACTTAGAAATTTAATTTTTTCACAGCTTCAAGAAATCAAAAACTTGAGTTTAAGTTTTAAATTACAACTCGATACCTCCACACGTTCCCGAGATAAAGGGCCGTGACAGACAAACAGATAAACGGCCGTATCTCTTTTTACGTCACCTTAGAAGTTTCATGTTTTCACAGCTTCAAGAGACCGTAGACCTGAGTGTAGGGTTTAAATTTCAACTCGATACCTTCACGCATTTTCTAGATAAAGGGGCTTGACAGATAGACGGACAACAAATTGATCCAATAAGGGTTCCATTATTGCCGATCGAGGTACAGAACCCTAAAAATAAAAAGAGGCCAAGTGCGAGGCGAGTGCGCTCTGCACCCGCTACCGATCAAGCCACGCCCCGCATGAATTATAATTATTATTTACTTAGTCACCTATTACAGATTTATTATTAGAAAATAATGGTTCACGGTTTATGCAAAACGTTTATGTTAATTAAATTAAATGTTTTATTTTTATATTTGAGTTGATTGAATGATAGGTAAATAGCGGTTTACGATTTATGACGTATTAAAAAAAAACTATTACTAGATCTCGTTCAAACGAATTTTCGGTGGAAGTTTGCATATTACTGTACATCATTTTTTTTGGGTATGATGAAAGATTTTTTTTGAGTTTCAGTTCTAAATATGGGGAACCACCAAAATTTATTGCTTTTTTTATTTTGTGTAGAAATCCTAATGCGGTTCACAGAATACATCTACTAACCAAGTTTCAAGAGTACAGTCATTATATGTAGTTTTGGAAAAAAGTGGTTGTGACGTACGGACGGACATGACGAATCTATAAGGGTTCCGTTTTTTGCCATGTGGCTAAGGAACCCTAAAAAGGAAATCCATTACAATTTTAAGAATTTGAAATCAAAGTGCCGGAAAGCTATAAAACCCGTTCAACCGATGTAATTATTGATCAATCGACAAACTTGATTTATGGTGCTGTATATAGTGTCGGTAGCGATTTGCTGTTAGCTTTTATCGTCCCTTTTGTAGTACAGGCGAGTGAAATAACAGTTTTATACAAGATTATTATAACACACTGACTAATGAAGACAAGCCTATTAAGCTTTCATGATTTTGTTCACTTATATAATTTGAGTAAAGGTGGTATTAATTTGAGACTTTATAGAACTTTTAATGGGGAAAATCGCGTCATTGTGTATAACTCATAAAGCGGATTTAGACGGTTCATCAAAAGCGACTAATTATTGTAATTATTTGTGAACGATGAACAGAAAAATGCGTAGTTTGTATAGACGAATCATTTTTGATGAAAGCTAATAATTCATTCCTTGTGAAATTCCCGCGTGAAAATCATCTGTGTCAAGTTATTTAAATAAAAAAATAAGTACTGAGACAGTGAAAGAAATGAAATGTAAATGAGCTTTCGCTATTTACACATTTCACTTGTCGTTTTTTGCCGATGAATGATGACAGATCCAAGATTGGTGCTACTGACAACAATAGGGAGACGGAAGCTTTCATCGTGAAGACACATTCACATGAACGTCAATTTAGAAATTTCATTTTCGGATTTTCATTGGTGTAGCATCTAAAATTAAAGCAAAAATTAACAGTCTAATTTCAGATTTACCATTTACGCAGTGGACACAACGGAAGCTCTGATATAAAATATTGTTTCCCGTTTTTGCAACATTTTCATTAGTGCTCTGCTCCTATTAGTTATAGCGTTATGTTAAATAACCTCCCTCGAAAAAAGCACTATTCAGCACAATAAACTCGATAAAAGCACTATCCAATGCAAATAATTTTCCTAATCGAACCAGTAGTTCTGAGACCAAAGCGTACAACCAAACTCGTCAGCTTTATAATATAAGTATAGAGATATTGACATTCATTTTTGTTGTTAGATATTTTTTAAGCTATTGCATCGCGCACTTTGAGCGCGGCAACCGAATCAAGAAATTTCGTAATAAACCTAACACCCCTCCACTCCGACCGACACAGCGGTGCGGCGTTGAAAGCCGTGCATCGTCTAACGTCGTTTCAGTTCGGAAGAGTTCAGCACGGTGTTTGTGTGCGTGCAACTAGACATATGCGTGTAGACTAGCTGATAACTGCTCATAACTGATTTTTTCTTGTCCGTCACCACGCTCAAAAAGTGTAACTTGAATTAATATCAAAGAAAAAAAAGTACTGCGTAAATAAAATAAATAAATAATTATGATTGCTAAAGTTTAGTTTGCTGTAGTTTAATAGCTTTACCGCGGCAGTCCCTGAGTGCTACACGTTTTTTATTTAAAAACGCCTTATCCTAATCACTAACCGTTTATTAAATGACTGGTCTGTGACCATGTCATCACAAGAGTCAATCGCAAACTTAAGTAATTTATTGTTAAATATATTACTCCAAGAAGCTATCAGGCTTAAGGAGATACTTTAATTTGATGGAAAAAAATCGTTTAGACCAGTGAATACAGTTATATTGAATACCGTATAGCCCAAAAATCTCAAATAATAACTAAGTCGACCCTACTTAAAGTTAAGTATCTATCGAAAATCAAATAACGTTTGAGTATTTGACTGCGATAATCCCAAAAAAGATTAAAACGAGTACGTCTACCAATCTATTCAGTGGATTAATCTTAGAGATAAAACTAAATACTTACAGATAAAAAAAGAATGGTTTCATAGAACTTTAATATTAAACTGTCATCAAAACTTTCCAAACGCTTCCATTGACCTAGAGATTGTTGTACTTGTTCTTATCGTTCTTATACTTATGTAACGTAAAGGATACAAAATATCCCAGAACCGAATAAAATTCTAGACCACTGCACATCAACATTCTCAAGTTACATGCTGCACTGTTTCATTGATTGGTATTTGTTATAATTTTTTGAAGTGAAAACTTCTTTAGCGGCGTTGTTTTTTTTGTATGGGTAAAAAATTTTAAACTCGCTTCAGGACACGAACTTCTCGAAAATTCGTAATACGAAAACAATAAAATTGAAAAGGTTGTTGACTTTCAATATACCTATTGGACGAAACAGATTTTATTTTATCGTATTATAATAATAAGTCTCTATCTAGGACGTCCAGGTGGCAGCTTTATTGCAAAGAAAATGCATTTTTTGTACTAAGTGCGCTTATATGTGCTCCATGTAAGTTGATTTTTCTTAGAAATAAAATTTTTAATGTAATATTTCTATGTTTGTATACGATAGCGCAATAAATTAATATTGTATTTTACCACATAAATGATAGTACTTTTATACTGACAATTAAAGCAATTCGTGCAAAACTATTCCCTAACCATTCCAAAATATCAAAAATGCACAACGTTAAAATTCAAGTTTTCACTTCTGCCGGCACTCCCGGAGTGCAACCCGTGTTTTTTTTTATAATATATCTGATTCAGCGCCTACACGATTTTTTTTTCGTTTTTTCACATTTCATTAGTGCCACACTTAACGGCCTTGATTAAAATTCATTTTTGTTGCATGTTAAAGTGCGGCGTTGTCTTATATTGACTAGTTTTAAATTCGAATTACTTTGACAAATAAAGTAACAGCGTAAACTATAATCAAACTTAAAACTATTTAACGTTCCTGAGTAAGGTCGTAAATTATTTTTAAACACAAACAGTAAACAAGATAGTAACTGGCTCCTAGCCCTTCCCCTTTTGATTAGTCTCCGTAACTTATCTGACTGTTGACAGAAATATTATAAAAATATGGCTGGGAAAATAAACTGCTGGTACATATAATAAAACAAATTTTGTACGCCATTCCAGTCCCTAAAAATTTTTTTTTTTCAAACTTACTTTTTCATAAATTAGTTAGATAATTGCTACCAGTAAAAACATTCCAATGTCACAATACCTACACTCTATTTTCATTTGACTTCAAAGCAATTACGACATTTATACGTCCCTTGACAGCACTAGAGCAAATACTAGGCACCTGCTGCGCCTGAGAGTAATCGGCGTATAAACACAACATTATCAGTACGAAAACATAATCAGAGCCGTTTGTTCACAGGTTGCGCGGACATCAGAGTTAAATGGGACGGATACAGCAAAGAAACCAACAGCTCCTCACTCTACGAGCAAATACGCGCGCAGACCGTCCATGTTTGCGTACCTTATCATTTGATAAGTTAGAACACAAGCCGCGAGCAAACAATCTTATCATGCTGGCATTCTTAGAGACGAACCACTCCGCAGTCTCCTCGGAGAGAGGCGAGCGGAATTCAATGGCAACGGCGATCAACTGTGTATGGTGAAAGTGTATAGACAAATGTAGTGTAAGTGTTAATAAAGCCAAAGAACAAACCAAAGCTTCGTGCTCAAGTTTTCTAGTCTCGAAAGTCGGAACAGTTGGCAAGCTGGAGGACCTACATACGTTGGAGGGTACCGAGAGCGTCGCTGCTAATGTCAGCGATGAGGTGGAAGAATGCCTGGCGAAGAACTTCAATATCACAGAGGACTTCTGTCCAGCGTACCACGATGGATTACTTTGCTGGGACAGGACGCCGTGGAACACCCTCGCTGTGCAGAAGTGTTTCAGCGTGTTCCACGGAGTCCAATATGATGACACACGTAAGAGATTTGTTTATACTATTATGTTAATAAGCATACATATACATCTATGCCTCAAGCGTGGTAGGCAACTAGAACAGAATGTAATACAACAAGGCACGGTTCTTACTATAGTGCAACACAGACGCGACCAGTCCGCGCTGCTTAATGGTTTGATCATACTTACTACTAATTATCTTTCCCTTTGTTTTCATGTTTGCTGGTTTCTCCGTTTATGATATAACTAATCTTTTGTATGCCGTGTCTCCCCGGCTGCTTTACCTTCTGCTTAAACATATATATACATACAGAGTCCGAAACGTTACCACGTGGAGGGAAAGTACTTACCCTAAATACTGTATTCATTTAGGTTTTAAAAACAGAACGAAATGCATTCAAGAAATTTAAAAAACCGTCTATCTAAAACGGGAACCAATCCCGCTAAATGTTATAAATAAATTTCCAGTAATTTGGATATACCGATCGGAAGACTCGATAATGTATATTAATTTCTTCTCAGTAAATTAGCATCTACAATAAGAAGATCATGAAAGGAGACTCAAACAATTACATACAATCTTGGGCCTAGATGTAAGAAGATGAAAGTGGTGTCAATTAATAGCTTATGTATTATAAACCTTTCACTGAAAATTCTGCGGATTTTGTCAATCTGAGAACAGAACAGACAAGAGATTAAGTAAAAGTGAGGTTTTATTACAATCTTTAACTATCAGCTGATTGCTGAAGTGCAAAATATGTGCTTTTGCACATATAGTTATTATATTTACTAGAAAATGTTTGAAAAATCACATGAACGAACGTCAACGACTTCAAGCGGTAGATGGGTAACAGGTAAGGAGATAGGGAAAGGATGTCTAAAATAAAATAAAAAATCATTTAATATAGTGTTTTATTCGTCTTCTACTATGATTAAAATGTCGTCTAGAAATTGTGCAGGTGGTACTTTATGATCTTGGTACTTAGCCCAGCTAAGGGATGGTAGCTGGTTAGATGAAGTTATATTTAGGTGCAAGTCATTACCGAATCACTGACAGAATTGTTTCATCGTGTAAGAGTCGTCAGCCCAGTGTTGCTGTGACCAGTGGATATCCCACAATTCACACAGCGATCCAAAGTTTGAATAATATCCAATCCACAAGTCGGCGGTAAAATCCAAAATAACAATTCCAAGTCAAATGTGTGAGCAATCTTCGGTGTCCAAGGTGAAAGCAAGGGTCGTACAAGGTGGGAAGGGTTAGAATCCGTAAAATACAAAGCAGTGGTCGTGAAAAATTACGAATAATCGGGAAAGTACTCAAAACGCATCGGAAAACACGAAACGGGTGAGCAAACTAGAACAGTCGGCAACTATCTAATGTCAATGTCAGTCAGCTGTCATGTCAATGACATATAACAGAGATTAATACTAAACGAAGTAATTCGCTGGCCGATGACTGGTAAAATTATTTTATTTTGTTGAGAGATTTGAATCGATATGAAATCTATAATCATTAATATTGGTTTTGCAGTAATTAATTGACGTTTGATTTAATTATATGACTGTAATTATAAGCACTATATTGCATATAAGTAGGTATACACAGTGCATTTAATTACTTTGAGTTAATTGTTTAGCGCAAAAGTTTTATTTTCGTAACTGTGTAATCGATTACTGAAACGATAATCTCACGAAAACTATTTTTCTCATATTTCTCCGCTTCCAGATCGAGAATTGAAGTAATTTTTAAGATTCTTATATAGTAAAATATGACTAATTTTTAGATCATATCTCAACTTATTACATTTGGGCCCATCGTTTTCCACCTCCGTTAAGGTTGAATTTAATTTTTTTATTCAGGTCAGAGAAATTAGGGACATTTAATTGTTATTTTGGGTATTTAATTTTATGGTATAATTGATTCACTTTAACTTTTACAAATTTTATCTCGCAGGCTGGTATGGAAGTGAGAGAAAAAGATAAATGCATCAACTACTAATCTTTCTGCACATAATAAATAATATAGCAGTTGATAAAGTTTTATTAAGTACTTTATTTATCTTTTACTCTAACATTATGGCATTAGATAACATTAAAGCGCTAGTATTCTGGCAGGGGGGCCTCTTCAGAGTGACAGACAAGGCAGATTTTTCATAAAATTACCTTGCTCATTGATTTATTAACCTGACTGTTTACATTTTCTGCAATAAAAACCTAATGGAGTCCATTGGAAGAATACATAAAAAAGTTTTAAATTAAGTTTCACCAAGTGGACACTGTCTCTTGTGTCGAGTTGGTAAATAACTCATCATAATAATAAAACTAACTGTAACGATTAAACTAAATAACAAATAATATTTTGTTATGAGATAAACATCCATAAACTTAGAATGAAAAAGCGGAAAGGTTACGATATTACATAACTCTAACAAGAACATGGTTCTTTTAGCTAAATTAAAATGAAAAAAATAGAATAAGTTAAATTCAAATTTTGGTACAAATACTAATATTTACATTAAGGAAGCAAATGTTATCACTGGTGATCAGTCTAATTCAGTTTGTGATATCATTTGATCGATCTATATTTGATACTGTCTAACATAATAACCTATCTTCAGCTATCTGGTCCAGCTAAGAATCCTATGCCTATACAGTTAAACAATTCTTTATTCAAGTTTGAATTTGAATCTTTTAATTGTTCGATAGTTTCTTCAACATCTGGGCAGCCAGGAAATATTTTCAATGTTACATTAAAACAGCCACTGTACCTCAAGCACGAACCATTATAGAATTCGAATAGTTTGCAAACCGAAATGTCAATGTCAAATTTTGTATGGAAACTTGAACAGCAGCGGCACAAAGTACGTAACGAGAACTAAAAATCAGTACACATTTGACAATGACATTTCGGACTCGCAAACGATACGAATTCGATATTGGTTCGTGCTAAGGGTACTGATCTTTACTGTTACTTCATTAATATGACATGTACAAGCGGTACCGACAGTAAGAACTACACTGGTTGAAGAATAAAAAATCTTCTATCACAACTGTTTGCAAAACAGTTTTGATGTATCTGCCGCCATCCAGCTTGCTACTTGTGACCCATATACATTTTTTTTAATTAAGAAATAAACGTAAAGCAATTTTCTGATGTACCAAAATATGTACTCCATATCTATTGTTTAGAATAACTTCAAAAGGGATCATTAAAATGAATAAAGCAATGAGTTCCCGAAGTCCTTTGATGGATTTTTCAAGTTTTGCCTGAGGTTGTTTTCAATAAGCCATGATCTTTTTGGGTAATTAAAATATCTCACCAGCTTGTATCAGTTTCTAATAATTTAACATAATAATATATTTACGTCTTTATTTCGAATTAAAAATTATTGAAGTTATCATAACATGTATTAAGATTTATTATGGTGTTAATTCTATGAGCATTTTATTTGTACCGCCTGATATAATATAATGGGAATCCAGTTGGAAATATATATAGGTAGCTAATTTGGCAGAAAAATGTGGCACTCTAGACGTACTCAACTTGCCAGTCCAGACAGCCGCAGGGAAAGTTACAAGTTAAAATAATTTTCTATACTAGTATTAAGCTTCATTTCAATTTTGAAGTTATACTTCTTTAGGCGCGTTATGAAAAAATTATGAGAGTGAAATTTTAAGATGCGCGCGCATCACTGTAACACAAAATTTTAACAGCATGAACTTCATGCTTTTTTTTTTTTATTATTAATATGTTTTACGGCTCTGGATTCTAGTCCTTTTTAAGCCAAACGTTGAACATGTCAAAAACAAAGTAAACAAAACAAATGTCATTGAGTTTATCACATCACATCTTAATTTTCACTTCCACAGTAAACTCTTTCTCTTCCTTGTTATATTTTGTCTACAGTATTTACGATGAATTTGAATAGTGGCTTGAAATACTTGAGATCGTTAAGTAAGTCTTGCAACGTATTAGGGACGACCTTATCGATTGCTTCAAGTTCAGCAACAAGTATTAGACGCTGTAGTCCGTACCGTCTACATTCAAAAATTATGTGCTGTAGGTCTTCATTTTCTTGGCAATGGGGACACTTTGGATCATCTGTCATCTTCAGTCTATGCAGGTGAGTGCGAAATTGCCCATGACCAAATCTCAGCCTGTTTATTGTAGTAACGAATTTCCTAGATTGCACCATTTTGTTATTCCACCAAGGTTGGGCGGGCGGGCTTCCTTGGATCTTTTGATACCACTGTCCTTTTTCTTTGCTAATTTCATCCCAATGTTTTCTCCACAGTAATGCCAGGTTATGATGACACAGGGCTTTAAAATCTGTAAATGGAACCTTCATAGACAAAGAGTGGTCTTCACTTGGTGAACTTCGTGCAGCTTCGTCAACTCTTTCGTTACCAGTAATGCCACAATGCGCAGGTACCCACATAAATTGCACTCTCTTGCCAGATTCTTTTAGGTTATACAATAAATGCTTAATAAATAACACTAAATAATTTACATCATATCTATAACTATTTCTAAAGGATTTTAATACACTCTGAGAGTCAGAAAGAATAAGAAAATTATTGTTATGTTCTAAACCTAAGATATATAACAATGCCTGATAGATAGCATTACATTCCGCTGTATATATACTACAATCACTGGGAATCAATATGCACTTACTAAAATTTAACTGAACATCATAGTAAGCTGATGTTACTCTATCTTTAGACTTGGATCCATCAGTGTAAATTCTGTAAAAGGATTTGTTCTCTAAAAATTGCATTAATTCAGCATTGGTTCGAATTATGTCATCTTCTAAGATAAAGTTACAATTTAACAAGGCATTATAAGGAATTTGGTACAAAGGCCAAAGACTGTTTATATATAAATTTTCAAATGTCTTATGTATATGTACTGCTATTGCCACCAATTCTGGAGTATTACCAGATTTAAGTAGATCTGTGTTATGGTAAGAAACATTTTGCATATTCTTAAATCTCTCTAGGGGCAATAGTTTACCTACAA